TTTTTTCAGACCGATTAACCGATCGGTTAATCGGTCCCACATAAATCTGGAATCGGTTAACCGGTTCCGACGATTAATCGGTTAATTGTCGATCCGGATTGTACCGTGACCAAGTTTACCTATCATTCATATGGCCAAGTTTGGAATGTCATACATGAGACATCTCTACGCGAGATCTGGTAAAGTTAACTTCTCTACAAATAGTGATGTTCTCCAACAAGTACATATTATTGTGCTTGTATCCCCTAAGTATAACCTTCTTATCACTCGATTTGACATCTAACACGCCCTAACTAGAGCTCCACTCTAAGCCGTGTGAGTCTGACACTTCAAGAGAGATCAAGTTCTTTCTCATGTTAGGTAAACCTAACGTGTGTCAGCGTATTGTTGAGCATCATCAAACATGCGGATCTTTACAAATCCAACACCCTCAATTCTACAAGGTTGATCATGATCCGTTTAATCCTGAGAAAGTACATAAGAACTCTCTAATGTAATAAATGTGATAAGAACAAGCACTATTCAAAACCCATACATCACCAACAACTTTTGCTGAACTTCAAAAGGCATATCTCTAGCATCATAAACCGCAAACACGTCTTTCTCTTCTGAGTGAAGATGTTCTGCAACATTTGCAAGTGGAGGAGTATTCGTATCTCTCATTTTCATCCAACAACTCTTTTTCATGTGGCCATTCTTGCCACATCTCCAACACATGAAGTTACTCTTGTCAAGGAATTGAATTCAAAACTGAACTCTCTTGCGTTCAAGGGATCTTGATCTCTGTCTCTTGAATCATGTACTCTGCAAATTTTCCAAAATCAACGTTTGTGAATGATTCCGTGTCACAGTAAGTGTTGTACTTGAAGTGAATGGACGAGAGAATGACATCATCTCTTGTTCTACCTCATCCGCCAAGATAGCACTTACAACCTCGTTGTTATCACGATAAAGGAGAATCTTTGATAACATCTGATAGAAGCAAGGCAAGAAGTGGAGTAGATGCATAGCTTTCTTTACGTCAAAAAACTTCTATCCCATACTCTAAAGATCTACCTACAAATATCCGTAGACATGAATTTGATCTTGAATTCTTGATCCATGCCTCATCCTGAAGTTCAATAACCTCATGTAGATATTCATCACATGTTATAGTTCCTTCTAATAAATCCGTCTCTGTAGGGCATCAAAAAGATGTGTAACCTCACAATACTCCTCAACTTGCTTCATAACCAAAGGATCTAGATGGCTCATCACAATGTAGACTGCTTGCTCTTGTGAATTCCTCTAGTCAATGTCGCTAATGTGCATAGGTTTGTCTCTAAGCACATTAGTGAGACCCATAGATCTCAGCTTAACTTTCACCTGCTTTTTCCAAAGCATGTAATCAGCTCGGCCATCAAGAGGAAGGCTGTTGTATAATGATCCTCCTCCAACTTGTCTCGATGTCATTTCAGTTTAACAAAAACTACAAACAACATATGCTTCCGCATCAATTTTGTCCTTTGGATGCATTTTCAGCCTCCGAAAAGTGTCAAGGTGCAATCATTGTGTTAGGAACTTTTCAACTATACTTAATTTGCCTATATTCCGACTAAGATTGTTTTGAGCAAAATATGCACAAATTGAATATTACCTTGAAAGGAAAAAAAATTTGAAAAACAAAATCTTGAGTACAAAATCAGTCTAGCTTGAACTGCTCGCCAATGCGCGAATTCCGCCCACGATCACCGTCGCCCGTGATAACTGTCACCAGCAACTTCACTATTTCATCCGCGACAACTGTCGCTCGTGATCACCGTCAACCGCAACTGCAACGTCCGTCACCCACAACTAACGTCGCCTGCAATCCTAACTATGACTACAGTCGGGGGTTGATCGTCACTCTCGCAACTTGCGTGCAACTTGGAGAGGGGGGCGCACCGCTCGACTCCATGGGAGGGCCGCTGCACTTTGCTCGACTCCGTAGGGTGGGAAAACTCTAACCTACTACGCTGAGTTGTTGTGGGGGGAGGGCTTTTAGGGTCTCGCACGGCCTCGATCCTACCCCCGGGGGGAGTGGGGGATGGGTCAGCTTCCTCCTGCCTAGAGGAAGAAGTTGCGCCGTTGCGTTGTCTCTACGACCTGTGGGGGCCTGGGTGTAGGGTATCGCGCTGCTCGCGAAGAAGAAATTGTGCTGCTCGCAATTTCGTCTAGCATTGGAAGTCGCATAGCCGTCGCTGTCCTCGCTGAGTTTGGATTCTCAAAATTGAATTGAATCTTCACATAAATCTACGAATGTGCACAGGCCTTGGTTTGATCAAGAGCCTTCCAATGTCACTACCATAACGAGGCGCGTCCCCCTGCTATTGCTTTCCTTCAAGATTTTGCTCGAGAGAAGATTTCCTTGTATTCTCAAATTTTTTTGATCTGAAAACTTCAGAAAATAATCAACGTCACATCAGAGTAAGAGCTCGTAACAAGGTTGTTCTCCTGAAATTTTTCCATATGTCGACCACCGGTAGCACTTCCTCCGTGTTAACTAAGTATGAAGACAGGGTCTTAGCCAACTCCGTTTCATCCATGCTCTGTCTACTGAAAGTGCACTTAGAGGATATCAATTAGGATGCGCAAAAACATAAGACTCTTGCCATTTTACTATCATAGTCTCAAGGACAACTCACTAACAAGAATTAGACTGAACTCATCATAAACTTCATAACTTTGTGAGCTTTTCCCTTCTGAACTCTGATTGACCCATCAGTCGAAAACACTATTAATTTCCGTCAAACATCTGTCACATTTTTGAAAGCCTGTCAGTCAGTAATCTAAAAGGTTAGGACAAAAACACTCTAAGAGACTAAGACAAAACTGAACTTTTTTTGCTGTCGAAAACATAAAACACAAAAGACTGTTGAAAAAGGTTCACAAAAACTGTTAGGAGAAGATTCAAAAGAAAAGAAAAGAAAAAGCTGAACTTTGTCACCTAAAAAACCAACACCATGAATTGTTACGAACTGTAAACTTACAAACACAGTTGCAAACTGTAAATCACAAGCACCATTGCAAAATGTAAGATGCAAAACTAGTTCATTATTAAGTGCATACGCTAGTTATGGAATAGGATGAGGATGGAGTTAAAAATGAACATGAGATCTCTATCTCAAGAAGTACTTTAAACAAACCTCACTACACAGTAGAACCTCCAATAGTCTCATATAAATGACATACTCCCATTAGTGATATTCAATTCCAAGCCCATTAGTTTGTAACTTGTAAATCTGCACAATAATAACAATACATCATCAATGCCAATAATGACATGACATCATCCAATAGTATCAATTCCAATTGTAAATTTGGAGGCGTAATTTTTATCATGATCACACTAAACAATTCATCTGAGTGTGGAATCTTGACAACATCATGATCATCTTAATTTCTAGCACTTAATTTCTGCCAGATGTTATGTTGTTCTAGTATAAACTTGACAATGCTAACATCATCAACATTATGATCATCAAAACAATATTGAATAGCAAATGAATGCAATCTTGCAAATAACACACTTAAAGAATGTTCTTGAACAACATCATCGTCATCTTTATTTTTGGCACTTTGTAGTATATTGAATAATACCGAATAGCAAATGAAGGCTATCTTGCAAACAATGCACTTTTAGAATGTTATGAGACTGGTGGAACACCCGGGAAGAAAGCTACGCACTTTACTCTTGTTAGTGCAGTTGTGTTGTTACAATAGAAACTTAACAATACTAACATCATCAACGCCAGAAACGATACTAAATAGCAAATGAATGCTATCTTGCAAACATCGCACTTATAGAATATTTGATAACTAGTGGAGCATCTGATAAGAAAGCTACGCATTGTCCCGTACTATACTCTGTAGCATGTTGGCTATTCTATGATGTTGTACGTGTACCCAAAACAATCAATGAAGGACTTGAAATACTCCATATAATTTCCGTTGCGATAGATGTCATCTTAATTTTCTTGTTTGGATACAAAGTTATCCAATCATAAATATCGTAAACAATTTTACCTAATTCGATCTTCCTCACTTTCCAACTAGTTACCAACTCAAGTGAGCCACCAAAAAAGTTGCATAGCAACAGAAAATGATCTTAAGCCAGTTTTTTTAATTTTAGTAATCCATCTGAAACTCATAAAAAAAATTAAATATTTGTCAGACTACTGTACATAGTATTTACTTTAGATATCGATACAAACAAATTTGAAACCCAAAAAAACATGTGTTTGAGATATACATCTCAACAAAAATTCTATAATCGATGAAAACAACCTCGGTTGACTCTCTCAAATCCTTCTTTCTCACTCCAAAGCTCACGCTCACCCCAAATGATAATCTCAAGAAGTGGGTTTGCAAGGGAATGATAACAATGTTACATGATTTTTTGAGATTATAGGCCATTGGACACGGAGTCACTATTGCGATAAAGGCTGTATCTGACTTTCCGACATGCCCCCAGGAGTTAATGGAGAGACCGAACAGACTTCCCTGACGTGCTTTCGTTCGGAAAAAATTTCAATTCCTTTCTTGTCAAGCTGAGAACTACTACTTTACTTGATTAATGATCCAGCTGCCGGCGTAGGCATCTGATAATCTCGGACCGGTCCGGTTCGAGGCACCTTCGTTTCTTACAATATCCAATCAAAATTTCATCTGTAGAAGGTCGTACGGCACCTAAAATGGTATATGATGATTGGGAGTTTAAATGCACAGAGAGCACAGGTAACAATTCGTCTCTTCCGGCTTTGGGTACATCTAAATGTGCCGCGCCTTGTGTCATTCCTCTTATTTGTGTCATACGTTCTGCTCGCGCGTGTTCGTGTGAAGCGTAGATAGTTTCGACTCAGACCTTTCAGCCTGCAAGACGCAAGTGTGCTAATTCAGAGCTTTCGTACTAGTTTTCGCACACAGTTGTGAACACGGACGGCTTCAGCTGGGTGCCCAGATACATTCGACACTCTCTTAGACTGATGTTTCCGAGAAGCCTCCACGGACTTCGTTGAGATGGAGAACTTTTTTTTTATTGGTGATGATCGAATTTTGGAAGGTGAACGACCTTACCCAGCTCCCTACAGCAAGGTGAATGCAATAGCACTTCCCTTATAAGAATCACGGACAAAAGTCTCTGCTTATATTTGGAGCTGGTGTTTGTACTCAATTTGTCACTGCACGGCGGAAGCTCATTGGAGCTCAGAATTCAGACCACAGAGGTGAGCTCATCGACGGCGGTCTCATCTACGAAGGGCATTCATTGCCTCGAGTGTGATCTTCCAAGCAACGCGTTGAAGCGGACTCAAGGAAGTCTTTTGAACTTTGAGAAATCTGGCTTTCGTTTCTCCAAGTACGATTTCCTTCCTTCTTCAGCTTCTTCCGAGTTGTAGAAGATGAGCGTCGAGTTTCCAGCCATCGCCTGCACAAGAATAGAGTTAGTGCACATGAGGTATTGAGCTCGGCTCTCTGCCCGCTCCACACAAAAACTTCCGAAACAAAGGTTACAAATGCCAAGCAGGAAATAGTTAGCCACTGTGCAACCGCGAAGCTCTTCTTCCTGTCGAATCGTAGTTAGACTCAGTACAATTCGAAGTACGTAAGATTCCATCTCCTCCAGGACCCGATATCACCCCAACTTTCCAAGTGGCCAATCGTGTGGATCAGTACTGCAGTCCCCGTTGTGTGAGCGTCTCCGTGACGAGGCATGTGGTCCTCACGTTCCCATGCCAGTACCACAACCCTATGGCGGCTACGGCAGCGTCGAGACTTGCCCTCAGAAAACACGACACAACGAGCAAGGCATGCTCTGGGCTTACCTGAGCATCGGAGTTGGCTTCGGTGGCATTGATAGATGCCTTGAGGACTCGGATAGCTGTAGGGCTATTTTGCAGTATCTCACGACACCACTTCACTGTCTCCTCCTCCAATTTGTCCAGCTACAACAAACCAAGCCGTCATCAGAGTGACGCAGAAAACAGATCAGAGCTGTGTCACCGACAGAGACCTAAAATCAGCGTTTCCTTCCTAGTAAACTGCCCCCGTATGCATCCGATGCAACTTTGAACAAACCGAAGAGTATGTCAGTGCTCTGGCCTACTGTCCATCGCTGGCTCCCACGGGATCTGTATAACCCCAACCTCAGATCCCTTGTCGACATTAAGTGTGGTTCAACATGTCTAAGAGCTAGCTTAAGGTCGCCAAGGGCGTGTTTACCCAAATCTGACATAAGAAATACCAGCAAGGACTGTATAGCTCACTGTACTTCAGATGGAGGCTTTTGGAAGTATCTGAGCTGAAGGACAGAAGGGGGATGTCCACATTTGGCCGAAGGCCGTGTTTTCCACAATTTGATAGAATTCGTAGCGAGCGCTCGGCCACTGGGAATGAAAGGGCACGTATAGAGAGGAACAAGAGCAGAGTCCTATCTGGGAATCAAATTCGAGATCTCGTCCTCACCGGTACAACAGTGTTGCAAAGGCCCATACTCAGAGCCTCCTGGGCGTCGTATAGACGTGTCAGAAACCAAACCTCCCTAGTCTTCCTTGCACCGATCTGCAATGATTTTTGCCACATGTCGGTGAGATCAGTTGAGCAGTCACTTCCGTTACTGTACTGGTTGTACTGCTCGAAATGAAGTGTCCAAGTCCAGTTTGTACATGTGAACTGAAGTGACATATGATTCAGAAACGACTGCATTGCTTCCTCACCATGTGAGTCATAGCACTAACTCCGAAGCCGGCGTCGAAACTCCCGACCTGGGTACATGCACGCGAAAATCGGGGCCAACTGGCCTTGTTAGCTAACGTATCGTTACGTGAAGACATGAAAATGACGATGATAGGGAACCGAGCTACATATCAAATACGTGAAACTCAGAGTCTCCATGGACAAGCTGTAAATCCCACATTACAAACAGAGCCACTAGATGCTGAGCGCATGAGAAACCGTGCTCATCACCTTCGGTCCGGTCTGGCCGAAAACAGCATTGTCTGCTGCAATAGTAAGATCACAAACGAGCTGTAAAACATGTCCACCTCCAACGGCATACCCTGCAACCTGTCCCAGCAACTTCATCAGCTAATCATCAGCAGAACCAGAGGGTTTTCTAATTTAGGCCTCGTAGATTTGCAACGTGGAGTCATAACTGTCCAACAGAACTCCTCCCACAACCACTTCGTAGATCTGAAGTATTCTGTCTGTAGGTTAGGTACATCCTAGTACCATTTCACGATAGATTTTACTTGACGTCAAGAGACACACAGAGCATCAAGCAAACGCTTGACAAAGAGCAGGTAGACGACATTACCATACATATGACCGGCTTCGGAAGTCTCCGAATTTGTATCTGCAGAGCATCAGCGGCAATTATTTCAGTACTTTACTTCACGAAGCCAAGGCTATGCATGGACTGTTAGTTCCGTTATTGGTATTTCTAAAGAAGACGCCTCACCGCAGTCAAAATCTCGACAGGCAAGGCTGTCTTGACATTAAATCGAGCTGCTACATGTGGTCCCTGTTGGTCCGTTGCACATCGAATTTATACGTCATACCCTTTACAGTTATTCAAAATCTTTCGCTAGCTTGAATAGAACCATTAAGGAGACTGTTTTGCGTGGAGTGCTTGAAAACTAAACATTCTGCAGGTTCGTTGTGCTGCCCCGTGAATGAGAATTGACAGGAGCAGACAGAGCTTACCTGCAAATCTAGGACATTCAGTCTAGGAATCTGATTATCACCAACATAGCCCTGCTTTGAGCGGACAGCAACGTCTCCTCCACTGCAGAACGCTTTCGTTCCCTGTAAACCGACAACCATCACAAAACTTGCATCTTGAAAATATAGTACACATGAAGGACTGGTGTCCCACATGAAGTCTGACAATTCGACGGTAGAAACGCACCTTCCCAGCTACTCTGATCCAAAATTGGCATCAGGCCAACTTGCCACTAACCTGCCTCTCAGGCCTTCGACACACCTATCCAACTACTACATGGATTCTCCCAATCACGCAATTCCATCCTTCTCCTCCATACCACATAAAGAGTTGACAGGACCTACTACCTTGCCTGTTAAAATCACGACACCAACATCGCTGTCGTCACGAGCATCCTGAAAGGCACGCTGCATCTCCTCCACGGTCTTTGGAGTGAAGGCATTTCGGCACTCTGGCCTGTTGATGGTCACCTGAGAATGTGAAATAATCCACGTCTTAGCATGAGAGCAAGTGGAGAGAAGGCGGAATCATCACGACAAGGAAATGAAGATTTGCGAGAAAAGAATAAAAGTCACGTGTTTCTCCTGCCCATCTCTAGGGTGGGCACTGAAGCCCACTTGATTGAAACCGACTCACCTTTGCTATCCCCTCACCAACAGATTTTTCATACAAAATCTCCTCAAAGTCAACACCTCCCACCGAACAAGATCTCCACTGAACAGGTTTCAAGGGATCTTCAAGCTTATGGATACGTTCAAACTGGCTCGCCCCTTGGTTTGCGCAGATGTGCCTCGCCAGCTGGGCAGCGCGCTGCAGGCCCCTTCCTTCCATGCTTTATTCACCTGTAACTGAGAAATCGCGCACTAGAGTGAATTTTCGGAATTCAAGTCCACGCCACGCCAGTGGTCACTCCAAACCCTAAACCCCTGCCATGCTCAGTGCTACAGGCAGTACGGATGTAGACAGAGTAACTGAACACAGCATTCTCATTTGGGGGAGGCTAATATGAAGATGTGCTGCAACAGCTCCACTTCGATGTACCAATTTCCGAACTTTTTTCTATGTAAATCTTAAATCTTTCTTTCTAATCAACAGAATCATACACGACAGTGCGTGCACAGTCAAAGCCTGGAGGCTATAAACCTCCTGAAGCGCAATGAGTAGATGTTCATCACAACCATCATTTTGTTTCTTTAAGTGGAAGGTCCTGACACTGATAAATGATTCCAACGAAGTCCACAACCAGAGAGTGAAAAGCTCAGAATACATTCACGTATTGAACTGCATGACAGACAGGACACACATGACGGCTGACAGCCGAATTCTCGGTTTACATGGAAAAATTCAGAAATACTGTTTCCTGTTCTAGGCTGCCTCAATTCACGTTACAAGGACGATTTGACGGTCAACCTATGTTCGAACACCAGATTACTTGAGTGAGCATACGAATATGAGCCCATCGTACGAAGAAGCTATCCCTATCGAACTTGTCTGTCGAGCTCACTTTGTACCAACTTCTGCTGGCTTTTCCAAAATTTGAATTGTGACAAGCTTGATTTTACAACAGTGACCCGACTGGCAGAGGAGGACCAGAACATGAGAGATTTTCTCTTCCTTCCTTCACAAGATTCCAGTTTAATCTCTGAGAATTATAAAATGGCTGCTTCCTTCAGAATACACAAATCGTCTGACTGCCGTTGTTAAATGTGCATGTGTATCCTCCCTGAGATTCAATCGAGCACAAAGAATCTGCTTGCCAGATGTGTGACGGAGATTCATCTCAGCGGAATTGAAAAAGGAAAATTCTCCATGCAAGATAAATATTCGAGGCCTAAAAGCTCACAGCTATGGCGCTTTAAAAGTGTTGGAAAACCAGCTGAAGCTTCGAATGCCCGGGCGATTCCGAAATGTGAAAGAAACCCAAGGCGCAAGTGACACATTCTTATTAAGTAGGGAATGCCAAAAGTGTTCGTTCGGACTCGACAGCCGAAGACAGATTGCGGCTGTGGCATGTCCAGGCGAAGACAGATTTCCAGAATCCAAAAATGACAGAGCGGAGCCATGTAGAGCACGACAAGATTGGACCACATAACATACCTGAAAGCACCAGAATCGCGCGAATTCCAGCAGCGAAGGAAGGATCCTCTAAGCTTCAAGCACGCGCAACAAGCTGACTCCGCTTCCGTCCAGGTCGCTCCGGATTTTCACTGAGCTCAGCTCACTTCAGTTCAGTTCAGCTCAGCTAAGATCGGTCCCACATGTGGCTATCACATAGTCTGTGTCTACAGCTTGCAAGCATCCGAATGTCCTGACAGTCTGGTTCCGATTTCTCAGTAGCACCACCTAACCGCCACAGAGATTGGAAATTCAGCGGAACCTGCGAAATCTCTCCTACTCACAGCAGAATGTGTGACAGACACATGGCCCTGCGCTTTCCGGGTGGGCGAACGGAAACGAGTTCACGAACGAAGAAGAATTAGGGGGCGGAATATTCACAGTGTCCGTATGGGACGGCGCGCAACGACGTCATTGCCATCAGGAATGATCTGATAGAGATCTGCAACGGACAGCAGCCATTGGTGAATTGGGCGATGGAATGGATGAGGTGACCTTTTTGGTGGGACCACTGTACTGGAGGGTGACATGGCTTTATGGCGTATAAGAACGCTAATAAATAGACCTCAAATATTGATGGACAGTTCGAATATCTGTTCAGTTCCGATTCTTCGGAAGGTTGTGTGAAGTGTTGGGTTTTCGGTTTTCCTTTTGTCTGCTCGTTATATCCCTTATGGCTCACGTACTTGGCCCAGATGACGGTGACAGCACTTCTAGCACGTACCCATATTACGTTCACATCGGCTCGGGCTTGGGCTCGGACCCGGTCGGGTCGGGTTCGGCTCGGGTCACGGTTCTGAATAATGATCATCGCTCCCGGTCAATCAATCGCCTTTCGTATACAAAACTTTCGGCCAGAGCTTCGAATATTTATGGTTCGTGTATTTCCACCCCCCGTCCCTACAAAGCCACGACATCAGGTGGCTATGAGTAAGCCTTGAAAGGCCCTGAAAAGTAATGCTTTCATCCCCGCCCATCTCCTCCCCATCTCCACCCCCCACATGTTACGACGTTGCGCCTTGTTATTCGGAAGGCAAGCTCTGCTCATGGCTGTCGGTTGTTTTCGGAAAGAGAGAGGAACCGAGAAACGCTTTGCTTCTCGAGGAGGAGGAGGAGGAGATGAACTTGCAGCAGTGTGAGAACTGTGGTTCATGCCGGGTTAGTTGAGGAAAGTGGTGCAGGGTAATTTGTTGGGTCGGTAGGCACCGACTCCATAGTAAAAGTGAGTGAAGCTCATGTCGCGAACTACAAGGAGTATGAATGCTTGTGAGCCATGGCATGAACACCGATGCCTGCCTCAGTCAAAATCATATCCTCACACCTCAAGGATGTGTCCTGAATGATGGGAAGGGGATATACCGAGCTTCTGCTGTAGAATTCTGGGAAACGAATTTACACTTCAGCAATATTAAATTGGGCATGGCTCCACGGATCAAGTCACGTCTATCAAGCTCGACGATGCAATTGGGTCCTTCGCACGCTCATAGTTCGGCCACGAGAGATTTCAGTATATCTCGATCGGATGACCCAGACCCTCGTGACAAGCACGAGTGCCAGACAGACATGAGACCTTCTTGGCATCCAATCCGTTCCTGACGAGCTTTTTTCGCCAGTCTTTCTTGTTGGACTTTTGGGCTCCCGTTCAGAAGCGCCTGCATTGTACGTCATCGTCATGGGAAGTCCTTCGCCTCTCTGCTGCCACTTTTTCGAGCCATGAACAGGAAAGTCGCTCTTTCCGTTTAGAATAGGAATAATGAGAGTAAGCTTGACCTCGTACCGCATGATTTTTAATGCGCTCGAAAGTTTCGGAATCATACCATGCGTGAACGGAATCGTGGGATTTTCAGTTCGAACGTTCTGCTACTTTCACGTCATGCCGAAGCAGTACTTCCGTTATCGTTCTAAGCACATCGAAGAGACAGGTTTCCACCTGATGCGAGCGAGCCTGCGAAGCTTTATGAAGAAACTGGGCCGAATTTAGTTCGCTTCTAGAATCACTAGTGGATACAAGAGCATGCGTCGGGAGGCTCAAAAGGAGCTGCAGTACAGAGACAAATCGTTCGAACGAATGGAAAAAGTGCAGACCGAATTTCGTCGCCAGGACTCGATGTTAGGGGTTACACTTTTGGGGTTACAAGCGAGCAACGGTGGATCTGCGTAAGCGTCCTGGCTTTCGAGCTCTTTGCTTAGCATCGACGACAGAGTGCGACCAGCAGCATCCTGGCTCCTGGCCATGATAAGGGCATGATGGAATAAGGTCGCGGTGGAATCATCCCGAAACAGACGAGTAAACACGCGCATCTGGAACGAGGTTTGCAAGATGATGTCGGGACATCGCTCCCGGTTCATGAACACAACTGGAAAGGCGGTGGTCAAGCTCCAACGGAACAAATGATCTGGATTTCGCACCGAGCCACGACTTGGGTCTTGATGAGAAGTACAAGTTGGAGCCTGTCGACACAAATGACTTGCCCACCCACCAGCCAGCCAGCCAGCGAGCCAGCTAGCTATCCATGCTCGCATTCGGGGCTTAATAACAATCGTCCATGCAACGTCGGTGCGTAAGCACTCTGGCAGGCAGGCAGGCAGGCAGGCAGGGCAGGCTTCGCGCAAAAGTTCTTCATCCAGCAGTTTTAAAATATGCTGTCCTGGGCATGATTTGGTCATAATGATCTCGCATCTCCAGGCCATGAGCAGAATATGCGCTTCACATCGGCGAGTCTGTGGCGCAAGCCCGAGGTTCTAGACTGCACCAATTATTCTAGTCGAGCCTCGGAGCGAGGAGCACTCGCAGCCTTTGCCTCCCCACATGAAAGCAGCCGTCGCGGCCAATGGGCCGCTCTGCGCGCAAATATTCATCCAATACTCAATCCAATATTCATCCTTTCGGGGGACCGACTTGTGGTCCAGTCCCGGACGCCAAAAAGCTTGGGCCTGAACTTTCCTCGTCCTTATGGCGAGCGATGTGGATGCCAGACCTTTAACGCCTGGCCTCATCGGCGGTGCCCATCCAAAGCTTGGATCTTGCCCGGACTTATTTTACGTAAGCATCATGGCCCCGGCCTTACAGAGCAGACCAGTCCTTTCCATGCCCCCCCTCTCGAGTCATCGTCCGTCCTGCTGATGCATCGCGCCCTTATTGATTCGTTTCTTTAATGCCCTCCCGTATCCATCCATCCACCTCCTCGTCTTCAAGTCCAAGTTAGCTCGACCTTCGGATGCGTCTTGCCTTTGCCCAAGTTGTACCACGGTACCGCCACTTTTCTGAGTCCTCCGCGCGTAAGATTCTTCCAGTCAACAAAGGCCTCTTTCGTTCAAACTTCGGACAGAAGATAAGTATTTTCTGCTTTCACTTAAAGTATGTGTATCACTTCCATGGGTACAAAACGCCCCCTCCCCATTGAGTTTTGGTACGATTGACGTTCGGAGTTTAAACTCTAAACCTGCTCAGAATTTTAGAGTCGGATGGATGGATGGGTGGATGTAGCCACATGGCCATCGACATGATGAGTACGCTTGTAATCTTCTCTTTATGAGGACACACTCCCACACTTGTGTCCAGGTACGCGTGGAGGAGTTCGATGCTTTCCATGAAAGATGTCATCAGCAAAATTATATATATAAAGCGAAAACCGTTGGAATTTCCCATCGGTTTTACATAGATATTCACTTAATATTAATATGGCCTGGTCGTTAATAGTTCAACTATATATTTTAAACGGTCCATACATTACAAAAACATACCTTCAAATATCTTCAACATTAATTCAAACAGTATGTAAACTCAAATACAAACTATAAAAACTCAAAGATGTTTCGAAGTATAAAACCATGTTAAAACACATCTATATTGTCATTAACATATTACCTTCATACTATGGTAAATTTTAACACATGTTGGACAAAAAATATATGTATACTTTCATAAAAAAATCCATGTTATACAGTCGGAGAGGTTATTTTGGCATGAAATTTCGGAATAAAATTTTGGCATGAAATTTTCATTCACAGTTACTTGCATTCTCGAAATTTCAAAAGAATGTATATTCAATTATAACATCTCTGCAAGTTATAAAACATTCACTTCCAAACATAAAGATTACACTTGGTAGTCAAATAATCCAATGTGATCTATAGGACGAAAATATGTACAGATTTTATTCATATGAGTCACCCAATCTGTCATATATGAATTTACAAAAATTCTTAACCATTCATGCATATTTTTGCTAAATACTATCAAATCATGATTTTTGTATGTTAAAAATCATATGGATGTATAAATATTTGAAAAAATTTATAATTTATCTTCCTAAAGATTTAAGGCAAAAATTTCACATTCCCTCCACGATTCATTTTCAAGAGTTGAACTAAAATTTATGGTTTTTTATAATATATATTAAAAATGATACAATATTTATTAGACTTCAAGTGAATTCTAAGGATTTATAAAATATTTTTTGAAAATAAGGCTAAAAAATTCCAATTTTCAGAATGTACATGCATTCAAGTACACTGAATCTGTTTTTTCAAAAGAATATATCTAACGTATTTATCAACAGGCTTATAAATTTTTTTCAAAATATATATTATGTTTCTACTAATATCACAAGATTATTTAATAATGAATTATTTCAATCCAGAATATGATTAGAAAAGCTTCAATAATTTCAGAAATCATATTTTTATGATAAATTTTCAATCAAAATCATGATAATATTAGTGAAAAATTCTTGCTGAATAGATACAAAATATTTATGCTGTTATTTATGGATTACTTGTACTTTATGATGCATATGAAAAAATTCAAAGTAATTTATATCAAAAGTCAAAATTTTACATTATTATTGTTTATGCATTTCAGACGTATTTACCAAACTAGCCTTAAGAGATGATGTCTTCATTCATGGTATTATTGATTAAATTTATAATCAAATTCGAGTTTTTATATAACAATTCCTATCTTGTTTATTCAAAGTTGCATATTATGTTGTCAATGGTTTTTCAAAACTACTGTTTTGACATATTACCTCCTAGTTGAGCTTGTCATAGGAACTTATTCATAATTCAAACTTTGATTGGTGATTTTTGCATGTAGCTCACTCTAGCTAAAGTAGATAATTCACATGTAGATTTTTAAATATTATAGTAAAAATTCCATTTTGTGAACAATATGATTAGATCATTACATGAAAATCTAATGTTTATTATAGACTTGTCTGAACCTTTTTGCTACTCTGATCTGAAAGCTCTAATCACGTAACATATAAGCGCATTTTTAAATTCAGATGTTTCATTCGTTTGAATATAACAAGTTGTATATGTTTAAGTATGATTCAAATAATCCAAACAAGTTTTTCCGAAACATGCATATTATTAACGGAACCTATGGCAATGATAAAAATCTGGTGACTCAATCATCTAGCCAAATAATTAAAAAAATAATTAATGAATCGTAATCAAGACATGCCATTAGTAGCTATCATAAAAGATTGAAATTAACGTGTGAGCCAAAAAACCCTACAGTAAAGGCACAAAATCCTTATGATATTGTTTTATATTAATTGTCTACATAGTGTTGAATTTAGATTTCGGTAACTTTGTAGTCGAATATCAAACAAATTTGTCTTTCTACTCTCAACTTTTGGCAAAGCATAACAATGGTTGGAAAAGCTACTCGCTTACTCCTTACCTACTCTCCATAACAAAGAATTTGGGATTGTCCCAAAGTCCAGTTGGTTCATAGATCGTACACTCAAAGTACATTCCTTTTGCTCATGGAATGCAGGCTGATTTTACTTCCTTCATTACTCGTTCAACGTCATACGGTGTGTAGGCCCTTGACTTGCAACCGTCACTAATTTGTTTCCCTCGCCGCTTTGTCCTAGATTTGTGTCATGATTTCGGCTCAGCGATGGTATAACGCTCACGGAGAAAATGGCCTGGGTCGATGCTCGATGCTCGATGCCGATGTCGATGGTTGGTCGGTCATTTGGCAAAGAACTGGAGAACGATGCTTACTGAATGCGTGAAAGTGCTGACAACAGGTTCTGTCATGTTGTTGTGTGGTCGACCCCGTCGCGTTTCAAGTGGCCTGCTGGACTCGGGTTCGTAACATTTAGCAGCCCGATGATATGTGTGCACAGTGCGCTGCGTGTTGGGCCAATGCTGAGCAGTCCATGCGGTCTTAATTTAGGTCAAGTACCTGAGATCTTCGGAGGTCGACAAGGTCGAGAGCTGGGAGTGCAACAAGACAAGCCTTTTAACCGAAACAATCAGCGCAAGAAGATAAATGTTCCTCTGTAGGCAGATTTTGCCTTATGCCAGTACCGTTGTACTATTACGGTTCTGCCATCCCTAGATTGTCATCCTTGGTCGGTGTGACAAACTCCGTCCTCGCGGGTTGACACAAGCTTGGATTACGAAGTACAACTAAACATCACTTTCGATGGGGAGCACGGTACCGTTCCATGTGTTGATGAATGGCTATGACATGAAAAAACTCTTTTGTTTTGACTTATCGGCGTGACCAAATGCTTTTCCCCCCACCTCTAAAGCAACGCATTAAATTCCAGCATGAGTACGATGCATTAGCTCAAGCTAATCGACGATTAGACACATGTACCTTGGTACGGGCGAACCACTTTGCTTCTTGGTAAAGGGAACTTGATTCTTGGTTGGAACAACACTCCACTACGGCAGGCTGCTTTGAATTGACCTCAGGGCAGTACCCTGGAAGTTGTAAAATTACCACCAGAAAACAGAAAGTTTGAATAATATGTCTAGGGCCCGAGACCTTGCATGAGCGCCCCACCTAACCCCATCCATCCAACAAAAAGTACAAATTGGACTGTTGAGTAAAGTCAAGCTGGAGTAGCCCCACACAAGTCCCATCAAATCTGCCTAATCATTATATCCCACAAGCTTTTGTGATATGTTGTGTGTGTCACATCAATCCGGTTGGACTCCATGGGTCCCTCTACGATGCACAACAGATGCAAAGTTTGAGCGATGTCTTTTTGTGTTATTCTGACTTTGTCGAAGCTTGGTGAGCAGGTAGATCAAAGTTTTCGGGCTGATCCATATCCAACGCAGACCTTCCGATGCCATCACACTTTTCACGACTTGTGCCAGGGGCCGGATAACATTCCGAGGCGTGAGGTATGTGCACATTACTGAAGTACCCACCGTTTCTGCAACCATACACCTCCGTCAGGTTTAGAGACGAATTGCTCCTTGTCAAAGACACTCGATGGTATTCTCGGCTTCCTTGGTTTCACTCGATTGCACAATGCAGTACTTCGATGCATACGTGACAGATAGTGGTTGAGTCGGTCAAACCCCGAAGTCTTGCTTACATAAGCAAACCTTGACACACAATCATCAAGCACGAGAAGCTCAGCAAGTCTTTATGAATTCGCAAGATCATCATGCTTCCAAGGACACAGCCCTGCTTCTCCGAAGTTCACTGCTTGGGCTAACTTTTGAAGCGGTTAAGCCAAGAACTACAAGTAACCTTCAGTACGAAGGGCATCTCCTGCTTAAAGCTATAGTAGTCCAGCAACATAAGGATTCGTCTTTCTACATGAATCCTCCCTTAATTCTATTTCTAGTTGCGTGAAAGTAGGGATACTAATGAAAAATCGCCTTTGGGCTCTTCTTTCAACCAGGTCAAAGACATTTTCGGAGAATATTTCATCTCTTCTTATATTCGTTCTCATCTTTTGATGAGAGTGGCCTCATGTCAACTCACATCACTCTTGGACGCAGAAACAAATCTCTCTCTCTCTCCCTCTCTCTGAAAGGTGCCTTTCAAGAATTTCTCAAAATTAAAACGAGCCTGATTCCACCGTCAACAGCAGGAAAGCAGGGCCCTCTCCTTTCTCTTTGACGAAAAACGACGGCCCTCTTTCATTCCATAATCAACCTCAGACAGCTTATACTCCAGATTGGCTTACACGATGTGTACACGATGCAACTTGCACAAATTCTCATCCCGCGCAGCACGTGATTTTAAGAGATTAGTGCCGAATTCTAGATGGAGTCTGCATGAACAGATTCAGCTGTTTTCGCAAATCCAAAACTTACAGTCTGGAAGGGATGAAGTGGACGATGTGCCATGGAACAGCAGTATGTAATAAACCTTTTCGGTGTGGCTGCTAACGCTTTGAGATCAGTGAGCCAAGAATAGTCGTGGAAGCAGACGAAAGTCCAACGGATGATGATACCTACGGTGCACTCTTGAGCTTACACGGTTCGTACTGCGGCTGCCACCCCTCTTTATACCTTTGAATTCGATATGCGAAAGACTATGGTCTCTCTCACTTTTGCGCCGTTGCTTGTGAAGGTGACCAAGACTCGACATTCACTGGGGCTTGCTTGGGCTCGAGCTTGACATCAGCATCGCCATGGGCCTTCGAAGTGGCGAGCGCGGTCTAGCTTCTAGTCACCACGTATGGTCTCCTGACATAGGCTTGATCCAGGAATATTAGGCGGGGAGTCTGCCGTGATATAACATTACAAGAAGGTTTGGATTATGCCCTGATCTAACGGGAAAAAGGGCTCGAAAGTGAAAGAGGCGTTTTGTCTCAATAATAGTGGTGTACTTTGAGTGTTGCAGTATCAAGGGGCTGTGTGTAACAACTTTTGTTGCGACTGGAGAACCTGGACTCATGTGTTCAACGACACACATACCTTACCTCGTAGGAGTAGGACCTTGACCAGTTTGAAATCATTGATTAAATGACGGGGAAGAGCTGAAGCAGGCGAGCGCTGCAGGCCCATGGGGTGTGGTTTAACACGAGAAGAAGTGGTTGTCTGGAGCATGGATGGATCTCAGGCAGGCAGGCCCACACCAGGATTGAGTCCATACGGTGTGTGAAACAGTCCAACTATTCGATGGCAATGTTGTAGGAGAGGATGTTACAAAAGCTACTAGAGCCCACCACCATAACTGCCATATTCTCGTGGTGGGCAGTACGACAACAGCAAAAGAGGTTTCTATTGAGATTCTTAACTTCTTTCGACTTTTAGGAACCGAGCGGAAGGGCATGGGATGGTCCATAAGAGAGAAGTGGTGTTCAAACATGTCACAGGCGCAAGTTTCTTGTGGCCTGGTTTAGCAAGGTCCCAGGGCAAGAGAGCAAGTTGGGTAATGCCGGTCATCTATTATGCAACCTCTCTGGGTTACAATGTACGCTAAGAATGCTGGCACCACACGAGTCATTTTGGTCTGGGTCCTACCAAAAGAAAAAGAGGGACAAGGCTGGTACAAAAAGTCAATTTCCAAGTAAACTCGGAGAATATCTTTCGCTCCAGGATGCCCTACAGCGGGCGTGCCCCATTTTCTTCACCAATGGCGCTATGAGCTTCAAACCAGGAGGCCCCGACGTTTTCTTAGTGCCGGCCTAGTGAGCCGAGTCATCTAAACTGTCGTACTCGAGGAATGAGTCTAGCAGATTGATCACGTGGTTTTAGTTGTAAGCTACCTTATGGAACTCGCAGAATTTTACTGTCGCCTACGTACCCCGAGCACTTCTATTCACGCTCCATTCCGATCCATGAACATCACATCACCCCATCCCCACAAAGTCGAGGGGGAAAGTCCTGCTTTGCACTCACTCATGACCCCGTTTCTCCCTTCCCCTGGCTCTCGTCATGGAAACAAACCCCCCCTCCCCCCCCCCCCCCCCCCTTGGGCCTTGTGGCTCTCTCCCCCCTCTCTCTCTCTCTCTCTCTAACCCATATTTGTGGGTCGCACCAGCAGCCAGGATTACCCGCCCGGACATGGAGGAGATACAACCACCTCACACCCAGAATCTAGAGAAACCGGCCTTAAAGTCACCTTTGCATGCTCGGTCGGATTCTTTTATGTGTTATGCGGGAGCTCCAGTTCGGTTCCTTCGGTACAGTGAGAGTGTGATAATAAGGAATCAAATTTCATGTGAGCAAATCGACCAAGTCACGCTCCGTATCTGCGGGCTTGATCCATTTACCATTTACCATTATCAAAGCTTCTACGGATCCTTCTGCAAGGTGACCCACCCTGGGATCCCAGGGTGACACCGGATCTCTCTCTCTCGGGGTTTAACATTCTCAGGAGCAGGGCGGTAAGTTCCCACATCACCGACCCGGCGAATCCCCCCCCCCCCCCCCCCCCCCCACCGACTGACTGCATCCTCATCGGGTAAACGACCATTGTGTCCCCTGGATTGCCATTCCCCACGACCGGTCAGCAGAGAAGGGAAGCGGAGGGAGCAGAGCGGAAACGCCGCCAAGCTGCCGCTGGCGGACTCGCTAAATCCTAGTCCCCGCCCCCCCCCCCCCCCCCCCCCTCCCCCCGCCCCGACCTGCTAGGCTGCCGGTTCGTTCTTGCCGATCCGGTGGGAGGTGTGCCGAATGGCTCGCACACGTGGCATTCGGCCGGGACGCTGCGCTCGTCTCAGTGTAACCGTCGGGGTCCTCGGGCGCGACGAGCGTCGGCTGTTGCCCGGCGGTCGACGGGAAACCGAAACGAAGCCTCGGGGTCCGAGAGGAAAGCACGGGGAAGAAATCGACGGGAAGAAGGCGACGGCCTTCGGTCAAGAAGGATGACCCAGGCCCCGACGCCGGTCAAAAATCTTGGGGGGAGCGGCCTGGCAGGCAGGCAGCCCGGGCGGGTAGGATGCGCTGACGTGGAGGCATTCCGGGAATCCACCGGACCTTCTGGCGAATCTGTCCGAATGAGGGAGGACCTGTGGTGAGGGCCGATTCGACTGACTGGATCGGCAAGCTGGCACGCCGAGCTGGCGAAGGTGGACGGTGGTGCTGGTATGGTTAGTTTTCGGTTTTTCGTTTTGGAGAACAGTTTTCAGTTATGTAGCGAGCCCCGCTTTAACGGCAGCTTCAGTTCGGGCGCCTTTTGGGTGCCATGACTGGTGGCCTGGCTGCCGTGACTGGCAGGCGATCAGAAGGCCAGTCATTTTGGCAGCGGGAATCACTTTGGGTGGGCTTCTGTTTAGCGGAGGGCGAGAAGCCAACGACATAGTCGTGTGCTATTCGCGGTAGGCGAGCGCAGGGGAGGGCGAGACTTTTCTACTCCAGCCAGATTACAACTGGCCGTGGAAATGCTCGACTCGCGTTTCGTCTGTTGCTCGGGCATCGAATGTGGCGGGTATATGCTGCTCCCATATTTGCGGGCGACACCTGACGAGACCCGGCCCTTACTCTCGGAAGATGCCGAACCATTTTAGTAAAGGAGTCGCCCGGCCTCGAGTTAGCAGGAAAAGCTGCATGCAGTTATGGCCGCAGAGAAATCGCGAGACTTTTCGAGCCTGCAATTTGCATCGGACGAAGAAAACGATAGCAGCCGATAAGAGGATAAAAAAAGACTGTTGGATTCTTCGTTCCTAAATTTATGTTGTTGAGAGAGAGATGATAACATATATCAAGTTACTTCGAAAGCGGAATGCCACATGCCAAGTTACTTCGGAAACGCAAGTGTAAAGGAGGAGGTTGGATCCGGATGGTGAGCGGAGAATTTACTCAAAGGTTGTGCGAGAGGTGTCACCTTGACCCACTTAGAGCTCAGCAAAGTGAAACAAAACCACGAAACAGTGAGATATTCCACTGACCGCAGGACGCAAAGCTTGAGTGCGTTGTTTGAGCTACATGTAACGGTTCCAAGCCAACATATCCTCTCTTCACCGCAGCTTTCCAGAATCGAAAGGGTGGTTTCGCATTTGTCTGACTTGTAAAGCTCCTCTCGCTGAACTCGACTCTGCAACTTCATCATAGCTCATGAGTTCAAATCCAAGCAACTTGTGTAGAGGATGACATCTCAAAATGATTAGGGCGTGGTGTTGCGAGTGAGAAGACGAGCAGTTTCTTCTTTCTTGTTACTTGAGCCGGAAACAATAGTGATTGAGAACCGGTTTTAATAATGAGCCAAAAAATCTCATGAGAATGTCATTAATTCTCGGGGATCAAATGAGCTATATGTATCAAGTATGATATCTGCGACGAATATAATAATAATGTTTGACCGAGGCGGGCGATGAAGATTGGGTGTAGGCTGCAGAAGCCCCACCACAATCGAACCCTACTCAAGTGATATACCGGTAGAACATGGAGATGATGATTTGAAACCAACCTTGATCTGCATCTTAGGAGTTCAATCGGGTAGTGTTAGGAGGAAGAAGCTCGAGTTCGTTACGATATCTTGCTCATCCTCGTGCTTTTCTGCCGATTTCTTGGCAGATTTGGAAGGTATGATATGCACGACAAAACCAGACCAGAGCAAGCGGCCAAAAGAGAGAACATTTCGCTTCATAGACCCCTCGCTCCAGCTCCAAAAGCCTTCTAAAAGATCGAAGAGGAATCGCTGAATCGACTTTTTCTGACAATTTTCACACTAGTCTCGGGTCAACCTACAGCTCCACACTGCCTTGCACACAGAGCGCAAGACATAATTTACTCCTGATCAGCAGAAGCAGAAGCATAAAGGAACGCTGCTATGGCTGCCACCCGCAAGACCCTTTGATTCGCGTAGGAGGAATCAAAACCACGCCAGCTTTAGCTGCTTTTCGGAGATCGCATAGTCTTGCCAATAGGTCAACAGAAGGCGCCTTCAGTCCATTCCATGGCACCACCAGCATGGCAGCAGCATGGGTCCAGCATTACCTGGACATGTCGCTGCGGGTCAAAGCATGCCATGCTGGTGTGAGGTAGGTCTAGAGCCTACGCGGGCCAAAGAGCCCGAAGATACTCCTCGTCTTTCTGCTCGAAAGGGCCCCTTTTCCAGATGCCTACCGCGCAGCGTTTCGCGGACGAAAGCTTCGCCTTTCACTCGCCCGCCCACGGCCCCCCGCCCGCCCGCCCGTCTGCCCTTCACCGCCCTGCGATCCCTCCTGCCGGCCTGCCTTCCGAGCTTCCTTCGATGGAGCTCCTCCCTTTTCGGCCGATACGACAGATGTTCCCCCCATAAACGCTAAATCTTTCCTCCTTTTCTACTCGAGGATGATTGGATTCACTTCGGTCGAGAAAATCAACCCGAAATTCTCTTATGTTTCTTGTTGACTGCAGGTCAACTGCCAAATCCAGAGCTTTTATGATTCCTTTTTCCCCCATAGATTCATGGGGCAAGCTCATGCCTGCTGCCCTCCGGCCTCCGGATTCAAATTCGAATCCGCTCTCGGCTGCGAGAGAATTCATCGGCCACGCTCCTCGTCGCCCCGAGGCCCCGACTCGAACGCCACCTGATCCAGACAGCGAGTCTGATCTGCAACGAACGAGGCCGGGCGGCCGTAGGCGAGGCCGAGGCCGAGGGCGAGGCAAACCACGTGAGCCAGAATATCTGCACCACTCGATTGTACAAGGTTGCGCATTTAGACCTACCACGTTGCAAAAGGGGCAGCTATAACCACGTCGGGAACCGGGGCGCCCTCCGGAGCCAGAGCACGCAGGCCACAACCACTTTCGCCATTCCCATTCGCGCTGCGGCGTCTTTTGCTTTTATCTCGCGCCCGAAAAGTCGATCAGGATAGTCTTTCCCAACAACCTTGCGCCACGCCTCGTCGGGCTCCAGAGCTCGCATATATACCTGGACTCTGGTCCTAGTCTGGAGCCCCCTGCTAATGGGCCTAGGTTGACATAACTACGTCCTCGTTCTCGTTCGTGAGCCAGCCACCCAGCTAGCCAGCGACGTACCGATTGCAGCGTTGCACTGCACTGCCCCTGCCCTGAAAAATCTCTCTCTCTCTCTCTCTCTCTCTCTCTCCCCTGCTGACCCGATATGCCTTTTTTCCCTCTGTCTCTCTCTCTCCCCCATTCTGTAACATCATTCCTGCCTATTCTGCTTCCTATCCGGGCCGGAGGTGAATTATCTGAACGCAACATAATTTCAGTCGGCCGATTTCTCCAAAAGCTGACCCGACGGCTCATGGGCTGCGCATAGTCGCGCTCGTTAGGCCGAAACCATTAGATTCCAAGACACGCTACAGAGTGGGTCACCTTTTCTAGTGAGCGCTGGGCACAGTATCTTATGTGGAGTGGCCATCGCGCTTTTTCACTCCCCGAAATTAAACCCTCCTTCGTCCCGCAGAGTCGGTGTTTCATGGTTCCACTGTACGCACTACTGTGGATGTTGTTTTCTTGATCATCGGAGCACATCCTAGGACATAAAGTGGTTCATAGAACGATGGGTCCGCATCTTCAGGGCTGCGAGTTCAGGACCTCGCCCCGTTGGAACCCTGCACCCAGTCCTGTGTCCGTGTGTTCGGCTTGTCCACACTTCCATTGGCCGAGACACTCGCTCTGTAGTTCCCTGCGTGAATGAACGATCATGTTCGTCCCGCGCTCTCAGAACCGGCTTGCATCTGAGTTGGTGTGAGGGTCAAAATCCAGTGCCCAGTTTGGGATGCAATTGTCCAAAGAGGCGCACACACACAAAAAACCGGGACAACCCATGCATTGGTGGAACGGTCAATAGCAACGTCACATGACGCAGCGAAGTAAAAGTGAGGGCGGGGTAAGTTTTCGAAGATTGGTCTAGAATCTATACTACCAGACGACCCAAAGTTGGAAGGTGCTCTATTCAACTCTATAAATATCACGGAAATCGCCACCTTGGCTGGCACCCTCTTTAGGATGTACTGGAACAGGAGTTTGTTCTTTGTTCTTCTGCCCATGTCAAAGCTTATCAGAACAACGGATTTGTAGAGGCATCAAAGCCACAGTCTAGACCGAATGATTGGTTTTCTACTACCAACTATCTTGATCTGAATGATTGGATTGCTAATATCAACATGCATTGATTGTCCTTCATGTCACTACTTCACATCGTTGTTTGTCCAGCTTTCTTTCTTAGTCTTCTCTTTCCGTTAAAACGGAAGGTTGCCTCCCTCGTTTCAACTTGCTCGTCGGAGTTCGATGTCCCAATAGGTTAATATAAACCTTATCATATCTATGTTATCGCCTCCTTCTACTCCTTGTGCCATATGGTCCACATGCCACCAAACCTCCCTAAGATGACTGAAGACAAGCTCATAACTATGTACACATCATACCCCCTTTACTTGCGTCATGTCAATCATCCTAACCGGTATCGTCCGCAAAGTCTTGATAAAAGAAATCCGATCCTTATTTACTTCGAGCCTGAAGAAGGCCGTATTACGCTCTTCTGTGCATTGAAGAATGTTCTTTTGAACTACCAATCGATGTAAGTCAATGCTGCAGATTCCGTATAGTATATATCTCATGTGGGTATCGGTAGTTACTGTGTCGACAGAATTCGGTGAGACTCGATCCCAGCAAAGATAGAAAATTCAACTAAACATGTGTGTTTCTGTCCGATAACTAGATTAGAATATGTTTTCAGACATGAAGCTATATTCGAGGGGAAATCACATGAACAAATCATGGGTTTCTCTGGTCAACAAAGCATTTTTCCAAACTGATCTCACACCAGATTTTATCGTTCCGTATGCCACCAAAGTATAGAATTTCTTCGTCCTCATCGAGAAGGATGGGGAAAAAAAAAACTAAAACAAAACTAATCATCGTTCTGAATGACCGAGATATGCCAGAGGGAGAAGTGAGACAGTTTGAGCTCGAGCACATGCTTAGCGTCTACAGCGGTAAAGCGTTCTTTCCGACTGTAGGCATGAACAATAAGAGATATAGTTGTAGACTCGCAAAGGCTGTTGAATAGTTCAGAAAGAAATCAATTTCACAAGATCATAACCGGAGTCTTTTTGCATATGCAGCAATAGAAAAGTGGAGAACTTTTCGCACCATTCATGATGTCCATTGTAGATATTGAGCTCCCTCGTACACGAAATGATTCTCGAGCTCTGAAGAAAAATGATATTCTATTCGGCCTCGCACAACACTGGCAAGTTGTAGATAAGGGCAAAGCTGGAAGGAAAAACTTGGCATTCTGTAGCGCTCGAGATCTGTAGTAAGATATAAAAACAGGTGTGCTAGACAGTGAGGTGCAACGTGAGGCTAAGAAAGTATGCGGAACTATGGATGCAACAGAGCCAGCTAACTACTTGGAATCGTACCAGCACAGATTCGATCAGTTGGAATTTGCAATGATCAACTTCTCCAGACATTCATTCATCGGAGACTTACACAGGAATAAACTATAGTATACATTCCTTGAGATGACATGAAAGGTCTGAAGGGATTGGACCTCATCGCTATCCATCGGCCTGTAATGCGCACAACATGACAACAATAATACGGAACCTCGGAGCATGGCGGGCGACCGTCTCTGCTAGCGCAAATCTCACATGGTCTCCTCTTTTTCGACGAGGCGGAGAAGGCCAGGGTCCTTTTCTTAGCCAAATATAAGGGACGGGCCCGGGCAACCGCCAGGAACGAGAAACGGGTGGCCTCCGGGCCTCGCCACCGGCGGATCGGATCGACGGCCGGACACAGGGCGCCTCCGCTGGACTGGGAGGGAATGTAACCACCGAGGCGAGGCGACGGGGGGAACAGCCAAACCGTAGGAAGCGCAGCTAGAGGCCTAGCCGCGAGCGTTAGCGACTTCCAACGGGTCACCAAGTCTCCCATCCTCGGGCCACATGGCGAGAAAGGGAGCAAATGTGCTTGCAAGGCTGGAGGGGATGACATTTCGCATTATCCGCCGTAGAATATCATATCGGCATAGAATAGTGGGGAGTTGTTAAATGCCAGTTTATCCAGGGTCTTAGTACCACCAGTTCGAGCTCGAGGAGCAGAGGCAGCATCTCAGAATTTACTGGGAGACACGATTAGACGGGAGTACTCATTGTAATGTACTATTCCAACTGTCTGATGGTTACCAAAAAGAGAATCAAAGCTTCAAAATATTGTAGAAAATGCAATAGTAAATGCTTTTCTGCGGTATTAAAACTGGTCATGTGTCAACGACTTGGCAGAATCTTAAAATACTGCTCATCATACCCAGGCCTCCAGCAACATCCAGCCAATCTACCCTACGAGGGTCAGTCCGTCAGTCAGATCTTCAACTTGTTCCTAAGTATGATAGATTACTCGAATTATATGAGCTCCAGCGATGAGGTACTTAGAACGAGAGAAAGTACACTTTCCGTAGTGGAAGAAAGTGCATCCGTCGCTCGGAACAATGTTTTAAAAACGTGGTTTACTTATCATCATCGATTTCGTAAGCCAATGAGTGAGTTCAGTCGAGGTACTGTAGTCGATCAGTCGTGTGTTATCCGAGCCGACGAGGATGTCACCTTGACACGTTTCTGCGCACTGTATTTCGTTTTCTGCTTCAGATATTTTTCGTGTTCTGATCAGAAGACAAACTTTGCAGTGCGCGACGAGCCTCGGCTCGCCCGGGCGCTAACGTGATCGAAATGCTAATCGTGTTCGTGTTGCGGCTAGATTCTCGACCATGCACAGCTACGAGTCGCCAGAACGACTTACATTCCTGTGCTCCTTCGAGTCGACAGGGGCATTGTCTGAGCCGATGCCGATCGCACCCACCGCCCCGAACCTTATTCGACGAGATGCGGCACCGCTCGAAACCCTTCGCCGGCAGCCCTTCTTGCCCATCGAACAAGTCCGGGTACGGTCGGTTACGAACAAGCGCGCGTACGATTATTTAGACCCCGTGATGATGTGTCTCGTCTTAGAGGAGATGATGCGCCTTAAGCTACTGCCCCGTCCGACGTCTGGGCTTGGGCAAAAGATTCAGGTCACGGAGAGTCCTTCAGTCCGAGACGTGACATAGTGTTCCTCCTCTAATAAAAACCCCGCCCCGGCCTCCATCCCACGTTTAACACTTGTGGGAGGACTTATCTTCCTTGGGAACCGAATCGAGGTCCACCAGGCTGGAACATAGTCGGCATGGCCGAACTCAAAACCGTTTTGTGGTCCCCGACCTCTTCTTTCCTTACATAATCGTATCAAACGCCGGGCTAGAAGATCGGCATAATCTGTCTACCTTGACCTTTTCAACGCTTCGATGAAATTGAGTGGTCGGTCCCCGGCGAGGAATTTTCCGCTCACTTTCCGTTTGCAACATAGATGCACTCAACAACAAACGGCAGCGACTTCACCAAACACTTCGACCATCCATTCATTCATCCAGTTCCAAAACTGCGCGACATACAACAGTGGTAGTCAGTTAGAGGAACCAATCTGCATTTGGGCTTTTGCATCGGACATTAGACGGGACGTTGACTTACGGCCTTCAAGAAGTTTCAGTATGCTTAGTTGTTGTCGCAATCGGTCAACACATCTTTCTTTCTTCAGCCTAGCCTGCCACCGGGCGTCCTAAAAGTTGCTCCCGCTCTCGCTCTCGCTCTTCCTCGGGTCTAGTCGACGGAAGCACGACCGTCGTTCACGAGAATGAGCACCGGGGGAAGATGGTCTGCCGGGAGGATCACAAACCAAGAAGGGCTGGGCTGGTCATCGTCGTGGTTTCGGTTCCCCACTCAATGTCCGACCGATCGAAGCTCGAAGTACGAATTCGCTTCACACTTTCATTCGGTTCCATCGGCGAGGGGGGCTCCCAACGAAGTGGCGAGCTTCGGTCGTGACCCCCTCCTGGAGGGTCAAATTCGAACTCGGCCCACAATTCACAAATGATGACAAAATAGTCCACGGTTGGCGCTATGGGTCCTCGCGTTTCCGCAATGAATACAACGGCCCTTTCTAGTTGGCCTTGTGAAGACATCGGCTGTCTGGTAATCAAGGTCCCCGGGAATGGAAAGCAAGATCGAGCATATTCGCCTCATGTACAGGTCGACTCCCTTAAAACCACAGGGCTCGCCGACTTTATGGTTTATGACCCCCAAAGTGCTCGTTCCTTATAGGGAATCGAACCGGGCGGGCATCAAGGAGAGGGGGAGGGGGAGAAGGGGGTGGAGGGAGCGAGAGCTCGAGACGAAGAAAATTCCCCGGCCTGACATCGACATCCAGCGGGCCACCAGAATGGCACTTTCGTCGCGCAACAAAACAAACGAGAGCCAGGCGAGAGAGAGAGAGAGAGAGAGAGAGAGAGAAGGGGAGAGGGGGCGAATTGGCTGTAATTGGGCATGTCTTGGGCTGCGTCCGGCGCTGGGGACCGCTCAAGGCATGGACGGAGGAGTGGCGAGAGATGGGGTCTACCAGGCGCGCGCGTACCGGTTGGGCATTCTTGGCCTCTTGGCGGCCTCCTGCTGCTCGTCGCTTTATTGCGGGGCGAGGGTTTGAATAGATAGATATTCTTGTCCAGTTCTTTGGCCCCGATATCTAACGGCCTGCAAACCTCCCGCGAACAGCCTGGCAGCGCCTTCATGGTCCGATGACCACAATCCCGGATCACAATATTCGTATAACCGACGCTCTGCCCCAACGGCCCTGTCGAGCCTCGATTCGGCAATAGGACACAGACGAGCCCATTCCGGTGAGCACCTGTGGTCAACGGGCGGGCGCCAATTATCGCAACTCTATCTTCACGTGAATGGGCAGTCTCGGAATAAACCGATTGCGGACGCGAGCTGGCACAGTAACCGCAGGACAACTACCGGTGCTGAGTGTCAGTCCAGCTACAAACACTCAAATATTATTCGGAGGTGATGGGTGCACGCAGACCGGGCAGGCCCCCCTCAGGAAGAAATGACATTATGCCAGGACTCGCGCTCGGTATGGACAGCATTGCATGGACGGGATTTTCGGTGCCATCTTGCGCATCTTGGCCAAAGCGATTTCGCCTTTTCGATGCCTCTGCGCGAACCGGCGACTTCCGCTCGAGTATCGGCGACGAGATTCGCGCTGGCTGTGGCGACTCTGGTGTTGCGACTTGCTTTCTGGCGCTGAGGGCGATTTTATTTCCACGAGAAAATAGAAGAGTCCGAGCGTTGCCATGAAAACAGAACACTCATGGATTCCTTCGCCTGCTCTTATCTTAGCGACTCCCTGTAAATAGTCAGATTTATCTGAATGTTCTTTGTGAGTCATGTGACCTCCGATTGTTTAGATTTGGCACGTGCAGCATAAACCGAGATAATTGAGTCTGAAGCATGAGTCCTGTGCCACTTGCACACTTCGGGCCGAGTGCACTTCAAGGATTTGCACACTTCGGCCAAAATACACATCAAAAATCGCAAAATTCGGTACTTGCATAATTGGTCAAAGTGATCTTCGGATCATTGCGTTCAGTTTGAGCACAGCGGAGAGACGGCACCTGTTTATAGAAGCATATGATTTACATGTGTATTATTCATGAAATTGTGAATATGTTTCTGATTCAAATTTGGAGCGCTCACTGTTCAGTGTGTGATATGTTTAACTTCACGTATGATAGATAAGCTACATGAAGTACTATGTATTTCGGGTATTTTACAAATGTGATGGCTACTTCATCTGGAGTAATGGTTTGTACACATTTTAGTTTATTAGTAATACATTATACTTACTGTTTTTTAATCTGAACCAAATATGATATTTCTTTATCTTACACATAACATAGTTCCACATGGATCCGTTGCTATTTTCATAGTAGATTGCAAGTAGAAAAAATCAATAGTGTAAATAATTATGCGTTAACTGCATGGAATCAATAATTTGTTTGTTGAACCCTGAAAATGATTAGAGTTAGGAATAGTATTTGACATGTTTGTAAAAGAGTGTGAAATCATAACGAAGTGTGCTACATGAGTATCACTTTCTTGAACTTAATGCGTAGATTATTTTGTACAATGTGGATACAAATCCATAAAGAACACTAGCTAGTACCAAACAAAGAAGCATCACAATAGTTTCTATTGTGATCTAAACTTGAGTTTGGGATTGAGGGTTTCATTTGTTGAGGCTACATATACAGTTCATATGTATTCATGACAACAGAAACAAATTCAGACTTTAGAAGAATTTCTCATATCAAAAGTTTGAGTTTATAATAAGTCTCCATAAGTTTGTAAGATATTGCAATAATTGACTACATTTTCATGGAAATTTACTCCAGAAAATTTTTTTTAAAAAATGAGAATCAGTAAATATAAAGTTCTAGCATGTCATGATGTTTATCTTAAGTGATGAAATATATGATAAATTTTTTGAAATTTTTTATCTTTGTCATGTTTATTTTGGAATGTTATTGACACTTATTTAACACTTATTAACTCAAGGTATTACTCAATGAAAAAGTAGTCAATTATTGCAATATCTTAGAAACTTATGGAAACTTATCATAAACTCAAAATTTTGATGTGAACGATGTTAGGGTTGAGACAATTGCAATTATTCACAAAAATAATTCTCCCTGTGTTTATTTTCTAACACACTATACACTTTAATGTCAACGACTGAAATCAATGTAAATCTCTTTGTTTCTTCTGAGTGTGATTTGCATACTATTTCTTAAGAATTTACTAATCTTTGCGTTGTGTCTTACAATTGTTTTAATCTCGACTTACCGTTGTAAACACATTTTCTTGGTGAATCTTGTACTTATATGTCATGCATGCAGAAGTAAAAGAGTTGAGAATGACTTTGATAGAAATCTAAACTCTTCCACCATATATCTAATCAGCTTGGATATGCATGCAATTGTAAATTTTGAATCGATGGAAAAACGACATAATTTTACCCCAGCATGGTTCATCGTATTAGACAATGAAATACACCTAAAGTTTTGATTTCAAAATCTTGGATTTTTTTAAAAGCTTCGTCTCATCGGATCGAAAATATCATATGGTGTATACTCTATTCCTGTATGTTGTGTTTATTTATAGTAGTAGTTTTTACCATCAAGACTGGAATCCGTCCAACTTACAGCTCAGGAGAAAGGTTGAAATGTGGGAATCACGGAGGAGTATAGAATATGTTGCAGAACCGAGCAGTCAGACGGAAGCGCATAGTTTTCCTCAGCAGTCGTCTGTCACTTCTTGTCGTAGAAAAGGTGGGTAAAAGTCTAGCTTAAAAAAAGATCAAGAAGACCATGTCCACAGTTTTGGAAGTAAGCATGCGGACGTGAGCCTGAATATACCACACAAAGTGTCTGAACCCTTTGGACCGAAGAACTCACATTATGCCAGTGGTAATCATTAACCATCTAGTGCATGAGTTGGAGGTATTTCCAATTTCCGAAGGGTGAACCGCAGAAATGAGGGGTGCAGGGACTAATACGATTGGAGAAAAGCTCGAATCTAAATTTACCGGAAGCGTAGGTAAAGGAGGGGCCTATTTCTTACTTCACTCATGGCAGCCCTCTTCATCTGTTATCGGTTGGAGTAGATAAATCGGAGCGAGTTGAATCTAATAGTTGACAACTTGTCCTTTCTTTTGCGGGCAGAATGACCTGTCATGGGGCAGGTCAATTAAATAGAGCTGTCGCAAACCCTAATCTCTTTCTCCTCCCTTGCTTACCACGCTATCTCCGACCACCGGACGCCGGGCGACCCGCGCGGCCTGGGCCCGGCCCGAGCGGGAGATGAGACGAACGAGAGCATGGGACCCCACATATCCATCGTCATCAGAGGCATCCCATGCGCCCCGCAGGTGAGGTCTGCGAATCGATAGATGCGTATGCGGGATGTGGCATGGCATGGAGGCATGGCATGGAGATGCGATGGTGGTCGGGCAAACATGAAGTTCCCTTCCCGACTTACAGCCTGGAACTGCGCTCACTGCTGCTGCTGCCCGCGGGCGGGTACGTCCAACAGAAATCACAGTCACCGAAGACGCAGACGGACGCATGTATAGGATTTCAGTTCCCCTCTCTCCGTTCTTCAATGCGAACCCCGGACCACTGGCCCTTCCTCCCTTTCTCACCATATCTCTTCCCGACACCGCCTTTCATCAGCTCTTCCTCCTCCTCCTCCCCTCTCCCCATCCCCTCCCCTCCCCTCCCTTCCCTTCCCTTCCCTGCCCCCCTCCCTCTTCCCTCCTCCGCGCCTCTCTTCTTCTTCTCTCCTCCCCTCCCTCTTCTCTCCCCCGCCGCCTCCTCCTCCTCCCCTCGTCTCTCTCTCTCTCTCTCCTCTTCTCTCCTCTCCTTTCCTCCTCCCCTCTCCCCTTCTTCTTCTTGTCCCCGACCACCTTTCTTCCATTCCTCCGATCTCATTCTTCCTGTAGGTAGGTAGGTAGTAGTGACACACACACTCACACACACTCACACACACAGTCTTCGTCACAGCACTGCACTGCACTCTCGTCACTGCACTGCACCGAGAGAACTTCCCGAGAGCCAATACATATATCGACACCACGCTCCGCTTGCTAGAGAGAGAGGGAGAGAGAGAGAAGTGAGGAGAGAGAGAGAGAAATAGGAGAGGGAGTTGTTCGCTTTCTTTGTTGGTTCGTTTGTGTTCTGTCATCGTTTACGTGCTGGTCTGGTTCCGGGGGGGGGGCCGATTCTTTTGAGGCTTTGTTGTGTGTTGGATTTGGGTTGTGCTTCTGTTCGGTTGGGCATCCTTCTTCGCCGAGAGGGACGAGACGTGAGGTGAAGAGCCGAGAAGAGACGTGGAGAAGGGGGTGTGGTGAAGGTGTTCTTTGGGAGGATTCCGGAGCTGATTTGGGGTGTGTGTTTGTTTGATAGGATATATGAAACCTGGTTTATGGCTGCGTGTAGATGGTCTCTCCAATTTTGCGGCCATGTCGGGTGTAGTAGTTCGTAGCAGTAGAGATCGTGGAGGGTGACAGTGGGATTAAGGGGGGGAGGAGGAGGAGGTGGAGGAGGAGGAGGGTTGGGCAAGGACAGGATCGGAAATCACACCGAGTTCGAACGGACGAACATCTCGAGCGGCAGAAGAAGAATGGCAGTGTCGCCATCGACGTCTTTGGATTTTAGATGCAGGACTCAAGACAATGAGCGCATCAAAGGGCCCTGGAGCCCTGAGGAAGATGCTGCTCTTCAGAGGTTGGTCGACAAGTATGGCGCTCGCAACTGGTCGCTTATCAGCAAGGGTATCCCCGGACGCTCTGGCAAATCGTGTCGATTGCGTTGGTGTAATCAATTGAGCCCGCAAGTGCAGCATCGCCCCTTCACGGCCGCCGAGGACGCAGCCATCATCCAAGCGCATGCGCACCATGGCAACAAGTGGGCCACTATTGCCCGCCTGCTGCCTGGCCGCACAGACAACGCGATAAAAAACCATTGGAATTCTACCCTTCGTCGCCGATACCTCGCCGAGAGGTCCAGGGCAGACGAAGAAGGAAGCTACGTGTGTAGAATTCGTGACGAGGACGATCTCACTAGTACGTTAGAAGCCAGGAAGCAGCGATGTAGTATCGACTTGGAGAGCTCAGGAATGGCCCAGCAGCTCTCCAACGAGGGCAGCTCCTTCCTGGATTCGAGCTCCATGTGCGGCAGTCCTCTCAACACTTCGCAGTGCGCCCAACAAGTAAAGAAGCTCAATTTTGCTCCCAGCTCTCCCTCCTGCTCCGAGCACAGCGATCCCACCACCGTGCTGGCTCCCCAAGTTTTTAGGCCCGTCCCTCGTCCTTCGGCCTTTACATGCTTCAGTCCTTCTAGCACCACGTCAGGCGGCTTGACCAAGCAGATGCAGCAATCGCCTCAAGAGGCGTCCAGCTCCAGCACGGATCCCCCGACTTCTCTCAGTCTTTCCTTGCCAGGAACCTGCGCGAACAGGATCGAACGCGAGGTCTCGCCCCGCTGTTCTCCTACCACGCGGCCGACTCTGCCGCCGCCTCAGCCCATCGCGCAGGCGCAGCACTCCCCCCGCTCCGAGAACCACCATCATCTGCGCCCGCACGAGCAATTGAAAGAATCGCCCCCTCACATCAGCGCCATTGCCTGGCGGCAGCCGGCGCCGCCCGCAGAGCATCTGCACGAGCAGAGCGGGTTCGGAATTGTGAATAATGGAGGGGCAATGCTAGTCGGCCAGGCCGCCGTGCCCACGGACATGATGTCGGCCGCGGTGCGCGCAGCCGTGGCGCAGGCCCTGCAGGCGCCGGCTGCGGCAGCGCCACCCGCGAGGGCTGCGCCGATGATGGGCATGGGGTTCGGGCTCGACGCGGCGGTGAACGCAGGGCTGCTGGCGATGATGCGCGACATGGTGGCCAAGGAAGTGCAAAAGTACATGGCGGCAGTGCAGGCGCCAACATGCCTGCCTCCTTTTAGTGTTATGGGTCCGGACTACGCATCTCTGACCTCTCACCCCGAATTCCTGGGCACCATGACCCCGTCGGTCCCTCGCAAGGCGGGGTGAGCGCTCAGAGATGGCGTTCGCCGCCGAATCGTTCTTCGTTTTTTTTCTGATCCGTGATGATCGCATGAAACTTCTCCGCCGGGTGATCTTTTTGGGGTGTACAAGCTCTATGCTCGCTCTTGAATTCCAACTGCAGTCTGTAGTATTAGGCCTCTCCAGGGATGAGCTAGGTTTGAGTAGGAAACAGTGTTGTGCTCGCGATTCCGTAGCAGTAGATCAGATTGGAGTGTTTTTCTTTAGGATTCTAGGTAGGGGATTTGTATCTCTGTGCATAGTAGTAGTTTCTTGCGCACTTTCGATGCTTCGTATTGTTCCTATTAATTTATCCCCTCGGTAAAACAGGATAGTCAGCTGGGACATAGAATAGCACTGCACGATTGACACGTGCAATTCAATAAGATCACGGAGAAAAAAACTTGTTAGTGGGCGTAGTGGCGACACTTCCACACCACCTTGTAAATTGACAGTCTTTCCATTCTTTCATAGTGTACAAATGTGTAAATCCTATTCGGAGTTGAGTGCATCTCGAATGACGACGAACAAGAGACTGTTTTCTTTCCAAGCTTCCGCTTCCGTTCATGGTTTGCATTGCGCATGGTGCATGATTCGTCCAGTCCGCGAGCACACTGTCCTCTCCGTCTCTGCTGCGTCGGGCAGGCCCGGCTCAGCTCGGAAAGCGGCCTCCTGAAAGAACGATGTGGTACACTGAAGCTGGTCGATCGCTTTTCGGCCGACGCGCGCCCGGAGTTGTTGCATCTGTCGAAGGAAAACTCCATCGCCCGTCGTAAAGCGAAACCTGCTATATTTAAGTCCGAGACCAAGCGTGTGGAATAGGATGTACTCTGTCGGACCTTCAGAAGCGTGACGGAATGTGATATTGCCAAATCAGGATAAAATACGAAGAAAGATACTTTTCGCACTATTCTGGTACCCGTACCTACTCCTGGGTTTTCCTGCGCCATGGTCGTGGACGGGAAGGAATTCGATTAGATGGGAGGGAGGTGAGAGCGCCGAGAGCGACAAAAGTCATGTCGCCCCGTGTGAGAGATGTATACACGGACGATCGAGTCCGTTAGACATGTTCCTGGCAATTGCCACTCGAGGAATTGCGATATCGGGCAGAGGACTTTGCGTCGACGAGCGAGTGGGCGCAGCGTGAAGGTTGGGAGAGAATGTTGTGAGTGCGGGGGCCGGTGAAGTGTCGACACTTGCAGGATACATGCGTCCAGTGACCCGATTTGCTCCGTGTGATCCCCTGGCTCCGAAGCCATTCGTTACCTAACTCGGCTCGCACTGTGCAGCCGAGGACGTCTTCCTCCGTCAGCATGTAATTCAAGTCACGATGTCGAGCTGATCAAAATTGCACTTTACTCTACAGTTGCTATTTCTCCAAAGATTTGCATCATGCGCAGTTACTATTGCTTTGTCGTACGTCGGAGGCACAACTCGACTCAGGTTAGGAGTCGCAGCTGTATCGCCTACAGTCGTCGTCTAGACGGCCACTCCTCCGAAGGGCATTGCCCTGTGGCAGAATCTTATCCGCGAAGTCACTGCTCGTACAGTCTGTCAGCCGGGCATTACGATCGACTCGAGCGAACAAGATTGTTTGAAGCGCATGCCATTGGCCGCAGCGCAGTCCCAGTGGAGCGGAGCCATGCTGCCAAAGATCTGCGCCGGTGCGTTCAACTTGCGAGCTGGGAGGGGAGGGGACCTGGGCCGCGATGGAGCTGGGTCAAAGCGGGTGCGCGGGGGTATGAATCATGGAGACGGATGTCACGGTGAGGCAGCAGCGGCAGAGGGACTCGCGCGACGGCCTCGGGCATGCACGGGCGAAGGATGTGACATTCTGTGACACTCGAGTAGGGACATGAGGATTCGGAAAACGGCGAGCATCTGGATCGGATCATCGTGAATGTCTTGAGATGCGAGTACGAGCGAGCCAGCGGGTCGTCTAGAGATCAGCACCTTACGCCTTACGGTATGACTCCGTCTTATGCCCCGCAGTATAAAGTATGCTTTCTCCCATAACTCGTTACTGTTTGCCAGCCTGGTGCAATTAATTATCGGCCGTTGCAGGAACTTCCTCTCAAGGGAGCGTGGGTGGAGTGACGTCGTCATGAGCGAAAGCCGGAAGTCCTACGGTTTGCTACGTCCGACGAGCTCTCTAGCTTCTCAGCAGATCTAAAGTTTGTCCCAGGACGAGCTTCTTGTGTGCCCGGAATCATCCGTGACATTGCCAGCGGCAGCAACCGCGTGGCCTCGTGGGTTAACCCAACCCCACCCCCGTCCGACTCTCTCCCTCCCACCCTCACCCAGCAGCCTCTGCTCCCTCTCACATGCGAGGGACAAAACTGGAACCCAGCACACCATCGGACGAGCTGAGCTGAGCCGAGCCGATCTCAGCAGAGCTGAGCGGAGCAGAACACAGCAGATTTTGTTCTCCTTCCGTTCGCTTTCACGAAGTTCCACGGGACCTGTTCAGGTGCGGTGTTCACCTCCGAGGATGCTCCGCCCGCCCGCCAGCCCGCCGCTGCGCGAGAATTTCCATCATTCGTGGCTCGCAGCCGGCCCAGCGCTGGGCAAAACGACCGAACCGAACCGTTCGGGCCATGGGTGTCATTGATGGTTAGAGCCACAGCCACAGCCACAGTACGCTAGTTCGCTGGCCTACTGCCGCACTCGATCTCGTAGGACCCGTAGCCCATGCGCGAGCGCGAGCGCCAGCGATGGTGGACGCCCGTGGCTGAAGACGGTGCCGGGCGCCGGGCGGCTGGAACCGGCCGTGCGGCGCCCTCCGTCCTCCACCTCGCTCGCTCGCTCTCCGCAGCCGTTTCCAGGCAGCCGGGGGCGAACAGACAGCCGGTGCTAAAAACGCGGCCACGTCAAAAGGTCCCGATGGGACAAAACATATAATGACCCCGGAGGCAATAATTGTTTTTAATTAAAGTGTCACACGACAGCGTTTTTCTTACAGTTACAGCAAATTTCACAAATATCTTTTACTTCCTCGTGGACCCGTGCCGAACCTTCACGGAAAGTCTTCGGCCGTGGATCATCAGTGAACATGCAGTCGACAAGACTCGGACTCGCACCGAAATGTCTCGCCATTCAATGATGGTAACTCACGTAATCTCCGCTCGTCTTTCCGCGGCCCGCTTGTCGCGCCCGGGACCTTCTCACCGGTCACCCAGCCTCGCACCCTGGCCCTGCAGGCCCCAGGCCGCTGCGCATGTGAGCGAGCGAGGCCGGGCTGGGCGCAGAGCAGAAGACCGCTGGGCTGCTGATGTCGCCCAGCGCAGCACGGGGAGGGTCCTATATTCTCGACCCCTGGCCCCGCAGCGCGCCTCAGCTCAGCGAGTCTCAGAGCGAGGGGATGGAGGGAAGGAAGGATGGAAGGCGGGCGGGGCTCTGATCTTCTGCCTGCCAGCCGTTGCGGAAAGAAGCACAGTAGTCGGTGAGGTGAGGGGCAGCCAGGGCTGCTGATGAAGAGACTGTTAAGGGGTGCGATGCCATGGCGGCCAGGAAAGGAATAGTACATGTGAGTGAGTGAGGGACGGAGAGAGAGAGAGAGTTCGAGGGGGATGGGGGGCATGTACTGTACTAGGGGGTCCTTCGGGGCTGTTGAGAGCTCTGATGGTGAGGCAAGGCATGGTTGCAATTTGGCCAACAAGCCCTGGAGCAACAACTATCCTTTTCTCTTTCATTATCCCCTTCCTTAATCGGGCCGTGCATACGTCGGTAACATCGCTGGCCTGCACCCTGAGTTTCTACCATTATGATATGATGCCATATCCGTATCATGCTTGCGCCCGTACCTAATAGATGTACCTACCTCTATCGAGGAGGGAATCAATTTCCGGGTCAAGTCCAATCGCAATTCCGAATTCGAGCGATGACACGGTCGGTCCACTTCACCGCTGCCGCCCGTGATCGTTATTCCTCCTACATGCGGATGATGGTGCTCTGACCAGCCCGACCAGATCGGACATACTCCAAACCAGGTGGAGCATTGCGCTCAGCCGAGCAGGGATTTGGGCTTTCCTATCATTTAAAAAAATTATTTAGAAATCGATCAAGTACGACCGATGCAGCTCTTACGACTGCACGCGCGTGGATTGAGAGAGAAAACTCAGATGCCGAGCCGAAGCTCAGTACACCTCTGCAGTAGAGATCGACTCACCTCATTCCCCTCCCCTCCCCTCCCGATCGCACGCCGAGAGACCAACGACATCGGCATCACGGGTGAATTTTATCTGCGCCTCATTCTGTTGCACTGCTGCACAGAGAACTCTGCTCTGCTCGTATCCGCATGCCCCACCACTCGCTGGCTGGCTTGCTCGCTCGAGACTTTTACGACCGACTCTTCACTATCCTCGCCTCGCTACCCGTCCGACTCGAGCCATTTGACATTCTTCTTCTCTCCTACTCCTCCTCCTCCTCCTTTCCGTTCCGCTCCTCGGCTGCCCTTCTCATTCCAACATTGCATGCTTGTACCACCACTTGGATTCATTCTCCACACATTGCATCCCATAACGTAGATTCCTTTCTTCCTTCCTTCCTCCTTGATCCATCCACCCACCCATCCATATTCATCCCTTCCCTCACTCCCTCGCTCACTCATCCCTTTGCGACGGAGACCCGGGGAGCTACCGAATAGACAGTCCTTTGCCCTTCCCGCGGCCTGCACTCAGTGCAACATAACATCAGAACCTGCTTCGTGCCATTGATGTTTCAGGTTCCATTGATGTTTCTAAGTTTTATCCGCACACTGTGCTGCTGGAAATCCTCCATCTCAACACGTGAACGCCTCCCTCTTAACACGTGAACGTCTGCAGCGCTTGATACAAAACCTGCGCCCATGGGTCTCAATCACTTCTTCGGCGTCCGCTCAACACGACTCTCAAGCTTCTGCTTAGTCTAATCTATCATATTTAAAACAGACAGTTGACGTTCGTTTGATTCAGTTCATTTTCTTCAGACGCGGACTACAGAGTGTACCTTTCTGTTGTGTTATCGAGATCCCATGTACGGTTCAGGTCGTGAGCAGTATGCGATCTGAACTGACCACAACGTAGTAACAACCCGAGAATAAATGTTGACAGGAAATAGGGAGACATTCTTAGCGAATCATGTACTAATGGACTCTGCTCTTTTCAAGATACTCTCGTCGTGAGAATGCATCTACTGCTTTTGACCGGCACGACATGCTTGTATTATATGAATCATGTGACCTCGGATGATGCCAGAAACAGCATTATGTGCAACCTTTAATCTCCAACACATCCTAAACTCGGGTTCGAAGAAAACGAGTGGAGGTCCGTCAGAACTTGAGGCGCAAATCCTGGCCTTCCCTTAGCTGGAGACAAGAGGCTCATTCCTTATAAAAACGAGTGCGTGGTTCTAGAGGAAACCTTTTTTTCCGATGACTTTCCTTTCTCCCTGATTCCTTCCCCCTGAGACTCTGAGTTACATGGTGCGATGTGAGTGTCTAAGTTAGATCTTGGACGGATGAAACAGTAACGGAGAAATTTTTTTTGCTCTTATCTGATCTAATACGGATCAATCCCTTTATTTCGTACTCCATAGTAAAAACACTTAATTCAGTCATGAGTCGAAATTTCTGTACTGTACTACGTTATTGATTTCTAATCAAACTCATGTTTCAAAAAAACAGCTAACGTTCATTTCACGCTCCTCAGAATACAGCCTTTAATTATGAATATATGGATGTTTTCACCATTTAATGAGAGACATGAGACAAGTAATTTCCACTTAAAGGCACACTTCTCAATTTAGTTTTCCAAAGTCACTTGTATGTACCGATGAATTGTTGACTGATAACTTTTTTAAGACTATGTTCCAAAGACTCCAACAGTTACCTACTCCAATGAATTAGACACCTATTATTATTACTTTGGAGGCGCTAAAAAATATTGTTTATTAGTACAAAGGACTCCAACAATTAACTACTCCAAGTAGTGTGATGAATTAGACACCTATTATCATTACTTTGGAGTAACTAAAAACTAATGTATATTAGTATGTGGTGGCTGTATCACATGTTGCTGATCTCAAGTATCCATTGTCAACATACTACAAAATAGTTTCATTGCTCATCCGAGAAATGAAATTTAAACTTGCATGACCACATGTTGCAATTCTACTAACAACTATCCCATAGTGTGTAACCTTTCACGCCACTAGCATATACAAGAAAACGATATTTCTTGTATGTAGGATCTAATTTAGTCATGTGCTCGTTAGGTGTGAGATTATAAGCAGAACAATTAAAAATTCTCAAGCAACTATAATCTGCCATCCGTTTATGCCTCAGTTCAAATAGTGTTAAGAAATTGATTGCAGTAGAAGTAGAAAGGTTTACCAAATAAATTGCGGTGTTAATAGCTTCAACCCAAAATTCCCCTGGTAAACATAATTCTCTCAGCATACTCCGCACCTTCTCCAGCACTATTCAATTGAATCGTTCAGAAACAACATTTTTTTGTGGAGTATAAACTGTCGTGAAATGACAAGTAATTCACTACTCTGAACAATACCTGTGAAATTCCTCACTAGTATACTTGCCATCATTATCATATCGCAAATATTTCACCTTGTGTCAATTTTGAGTCTCAAGTTATATGCCTCAACTTTTGAAGATTAAAAACACCTAAGACTTGTGGGTTAGAAAATATACCCACACATATCTAGAGTAATCATCTATAAAAGAGACATAATACAACTTTTTGGACAGTGAGGCAACATGAGCGTACCCACACGTCATTATGTACATACTCCAGTATCTTAGTGTAATTATGAGTTCCAACGCCAAAAGCTTGCCTATGTTGTTTTCCCATGATGCAATGTTCACAAAATGACAAATCAACTTTATCCAAACCGGATAACATCTTTTTCTTATCAAGAAGAGAAATGTATCGATCAACGCGAGATCTAGCAAAGTGAAATTCGCCACAATTAGTGATGCCCTCTGATAAGTAAATATTATTATGCTTGTATCCCCAAAGAATAACTTTCTTATCATATGATCTGACATCTAACACGCACTGCCTAGAGCTCCATACTAAGCCGTGTGAGTCCAACACTCCAAGAAAGATCAAGTTCTTTCTCATGTTAGGTATAAACCTAACATGGTTCAACGTGCGGTTGACACCATCAAACATGCAGATCTTTACAAATCCAACAAACTCAATTCTACAGGGTTGATTGTTCCTCATAAGAATTGAACCGTTTGATATGATGGAAGCTCAAATGTGATAAGAACAAGCACTGCTCAAAATCCATATATCACCAACAACTTTTGATGTATTGCATTGAGCATAACTCTCGCATCATAAGCCGTTTGTGTACAAATCGTTCGCATAAGTATCAAGATGCTCAACAACGTTCGCCAGTGAAGGGGAGGCCGTACTTGTTATCCGACAAAACTTCATGATGTGGCCTTTTTTACCACATCCCCAACAAATAACATTCTTCTTGTCAAATGGTTGAGTCATAAACCATGTCAAATGGTAGAGTCATAAATTTCAACTTTGAACTCAACCTGCTTGAGTATGGTAGGGTCTTGATCTGTCAACACAGTGCAAACTAGGCTTGGCCCTGATTCGGTCCGGACCGACAGTTAATCGGTTAACCGGTCTGAAAAAAATTTTGTGCGCACAAATTTTCAATCTGATTGCTCTCTTGGGTTATGAGTAAAATATGGACACTTCTGTGGCTTGGCGTGGAATTGTAAAAGTATTACATTGACTCACCATTCAGGTCTCAGGGAAACATCAGATCGATAGCCTTCCGGAGCCATCGATTCTACCGATTGAATTGTCGAGGCCTCAATAAGTAGTAATAGCTGTTTAGATTCACAACCAGTTCACAGTATCAGAAGTGAGGCGTCCCGAATGTCAAAATTCTTCTTGAATTAGCTCGTATGATTTGCAAGTAATGAGCATTTTTTACTTCTTGGAGTTGTAGAGGAGCAAAAATTTTCTGCTGAGGCAAAGAAAACATCTAGAGTCTTAGAATCAGATTCTGAAATGCACAGAAATGATCGTTAAAATTCATCATGTTTCAAAAAATTTCCTATTGAGTCTTGAATCTTGATTCTTCAGATACGTTTGGTTCGACACATTTAATTCGTTCAGTCATTTAGATCCGTTTGATCCGACCCGTTAAGTCGATCAGATCCGTTTAATTTGACTGTTTAATCTTTCAGATCTGCAATATAATGGATCGATCCACATAGTGTTTTCAGGTTTTCAACAGAGTAGAAAATATTGCCAATACGCTTTGAGTAGGCTCCAGAGCTTCATGTAACACATTCTGATCTCCATCTTCTTATATCTTCTAAACTTCTCACCATCAACGTACGTGAATTCTTCTGTTTACGACCGATTTAATCTGATCATTCGATCATTTTGCCGACGTGTGATTTAATCTGAAGGTTGATCCAGAAGTTTTGGACCAAAAGGTGGAAGCTTTCATCACCTTAAATGAATGATTCCAGCTTTAGACTTGATTTTACCACTTAGAACCGTCAAGCAGTTCTACAAAGAAGTCTTTATTTTTCTAGCGACATAATACTTTATGAATAGCTGAATACAATTTGGCATCATGTAGCACATTTTATATCATTCTGTTTAGACGAATGAAGGAGGAGCAGCAAATTTTCTCGTTGATTTTTCTCTGTCTCAGATACTGCTCACAGTGGTGATAGTGAATACGTTTTGTTATTGGAAGACACGCAACAAAAAAAGTTGATGCTCCGACGATTGTTTCACATTTTAATTTTAACCTTGTGGCAGATCACTAACTTCAATCCTGGTGCTTGGTCCGAATATGCGGAAGCAAGCATTCAAACCTTTCTTGAGGCTAGAATGGAGAGAGTAAGCTTATCATATTTAAAAAATATTTTACAGTGCTGATTGGTAGTTCTTCTGTCATTTGAGGAAGTGTACTAATTCAAAGTGTATATTCATGGCACCAACGTAAGGTGTTTTAGCATCACAATGAAATTTATCTCTCAATGAATGTGTGGTTAGTGTTAACACTCATATGACACTTTCTAGGATTTTCACTCGTCCACAGGAAACGAAAGTATGATGCTTGTGGCGGAAGGCACGGTGATCTCCTACTTTTTAAAAGAGATTCATTTCCGCTGTGCAGTTTGCAACTAGGAGTCAAAAACTTCATTGCATTAGGCGACTTTCTCCAAATTATTGATGTGGACCAGGTTAGTCTAAGCTCTGTCTTTTCCAATAATTTTAAAGCACCGTCCGGTTTAAAATGGTCGGAAGGTTGTTCGATTTATGAAACCACAAGTTTTAACATGTTGTTTTGTGAACGTTGTCAAGGCAGAGGAGAGCAATCAACAAGATAGGATTCAATGTGCCAGGGCTTGGCATGTTGAGTGGTGCACTCACCGTTGAAGCTTCTTACACCATGGATTCCCCAACGGTATAGCCTGGCAGGCCTTATGTATTTTTCATTGAGGAGTGGTTGAATTTTGTTCTATGAATATGATATCTTGATCAAAATTTCATGTTATGTGTTTAATCGCTCTTTATGATGGTACATTGGAATGGCATAGACATAATTCGTTTCGTTGTCTTAATTGTTACTGAAAGTCTAGCCAATATGTTATGAGCAATGAATCTGATGGTGGTACGGTTTGTGGTATGCAGCGGGAAAACATTCAGTATGAAAATTCCGCTATTGCCCTGAAGCAGGTACCGTAAATCAATTTGTTTTCAAAAAATGTTTATTCCGATGTAGTTTGTTTTTTTTGCTTCTGGATGTTTGAGTTTTATCCATTCGACTGAGATTATTATTCTGATATCAATGGTTATGTTCTGTTGAATACGTTAATTGCTACCCCATGA